ACACTTATTCAATAACTTATTCCCAAAACAATTCCAAAGCTCCAAAAATCCCTAAGGTTAAGGTAATCATGGTTTTTTCACTTAAGGCTTTTAATGAGCTTCAAAAGAAATAAAGGGAAACATAGGCTCAAAGGGGCTATCAAAGGAATTAATTCAAGGTAGGCTCATTAGGCTAGAGGCTAATTAGAACAAAAATGCCTTAATCATCTCCAAACATGCATGTGAATCAAGAAGTATCAATCAGAGTCAAGCCAAGGCTACTGCACAAGCAATCAAGAGGCATAACACTCAAGAAAGAATATGTAGTGGCTCAATTCCTCACAAAGGGTAAGATTGTCGCCTTCAATTCAACCTCTCAAACATCGTAACCAACTTGACAAGCAGAGAAAAACAGGGATTTCAATCCAAAAAGCATAAAGCAACTCCTATCTAAGAGTGAAGAAAGTGCCCGAAACCTAAACAAAACCCAGAGATCCAAAAGAAACATGCAAATTGTACACAAAACACGAACCTGAAATACAAAGAAAACTAAAAATCCTAAACAAAGAAAACAAAGAACAGTCTCCCCCACACTTATACTACAAATTGTCCCAATGTAGCATAACATCAAGTCAAGCAATCAAATCACCAATTGGACAAGTGCAGTAAAAGTAAAGAGAAGGAAAAAGAGAACTCCCTAAGTCATGGTGGAAGGTAAGTGGGACCAATCAGGGATATCTCCTCCACAACTACATCCACTAGAGAAGGATTACTGAGGAATGGTTTCAGTCGATGGCCATTAACCTTGAAGCTCTTTTCTGTGGATGCACTTTTAATTTCAACTGCGCCATAAGGATAAACATTAGTAACAAAAAAAGGTCCAATCCACTTTGAACACAACTTACCACCCATGAGACCCAATCTGGAATTGTACAATAGCACTTGCTGACCAACAAAGAACTCCTTCCTAGCTATGGAGCTATCATGGAATCTCTTAGTTTTCTCTTTGTAGAACATGGAGTTCTCATAAGCTTCCAAACGGATCTCATCCAATTCGTTTATCTGTAGCTTCCTCTCCTCTCCAGCTTCATCAAGTGAGAAGTTGCATGATTTCACAGCCCAATATGCTCGGTGCTCTATCTCCACTGGTAGGTGGCATGGCTTACCAAAGACAACCCGATAGGGAGACATCCCTATAGGTGCCTTGTAAGCAGTCCTATGCGCTCAAAGAGCATCCTCCAGTCTATTGCTCCAATCCTTTCTGTTAGGCTGGACAATCTTCTCTAAAATCCTCTTGATCTCCCTGTTTGAGATTTCAGCTTGCCCATTAGTTTGGTGGTAGTAAGGTGTAGAGACTTTGTGAACAACCCCATACTTCTTGAGCAAGGCCTGCATGGACCTGTTACAAAAATGGGTGCCTTGATCACTAACAATGGCTCTGGGTACTCCAAATCTGCAAAAGATGTTAGATCTAACAAAATCCACAACAACCCGAGCATCATTAGTCTTGGTGGCTTTGGCTTCCACCCATTTTGAAACATAATCAACAGCAAGGAGAATATAATAAAAACCAAAAGAAACAGGGAAGGGACCCATGAAATCGATACCCTAGACATCAAACACCTCACAAAACAACATGGGTTGTTGGGGCATCTGGTGTCTCCATGTAAGGGACCATCCTGCTCTCTGACACTGCTCACAAGTGCTGCAAATTCTCAACGCATCCTTGAAGATGGTGGGCCAATAGAAGCCACAGTCAAGCACCTTGCGAGCTGTCCTCTGAATGCCAAGATGACCACCGGTTGTAGAAGAATGACAAAATTGCAGGACCGAGTCAATCTCATGGTCTGGAATGCATCTCCTGGTAACCTGATCACTGCACAACTTCCACAAATACGGGTCATCCCAAATATAATACTTAGCATCGCTCTTAAGTTTATCACATTGAGCTCTGGATGCTAAGGGAGGAAAAACAGAAGCTACAAGATAATTAACAATGTTTGCAAACAAAGGTGTTGGAAAAGAAGCAAAAAGTGCAAACAAACCCTCATCGGGAAAGTCATCCCAGATTGGTGAAGCATCATCAGCACACCTCTCTATTCTGCTCAAATGGTCTGCAACCAAATTTTGTGCTCCACTCCTATCACGGATCTCCAAATAAAATTCTTGGAGCCAGAGCATCCACCTGATCAATCGAGGCTTTGACTCAGCCTTCTTTAGTAGGTACTTCAAAGCTGCATGGTTAGTGAACACAGTAACACGAGAATCAAGCAAATATGATCTAAATTTATCAAGAGCAAACACAATGGCAAGAAGCTCTTTCTCAGTGGTGGAATAGTTTGCTTGGGCAACATCTAAAGTCCTGGAAGCATAATATATTACCCGAGGCAGCTTATCAACTCTCTGTGCTAGGACAGCCCCCAATGCATAATTAGATGCATCACACATCAACTCAAATGGGACTCGTCCGAGTCAGGTGCCTGGATGATAGGAGTGGTGGTCAATGCTTCCTTGAGGCGGTCAAATGCCTTTTTGCACTCGTCATCAAAATCAAATTCAATATCTTTCAAGCGATTGGATAGTGGAAGGGCCTTCTTACTCGAAGTCTCTAATGAAGCGCCTGTAGAAACCTGCATGGCCAAGAAAAGATCGAACCTCTCGCACGCAAGAGGGGTAAGGAAATTGTGAAATAATAGAGATTTTTGCAGGATCCACTTCTATGCCCTTACTAGAAATAATATGCCCTAAAACTATACCCTGTTCTACCATGAAGTGACATTTTTCAAAATTCAGAACAAGATTAGTTTCAATGCATCTATTAAGCACTCTATCCAAATTATCTAAGCATGCATCAAACGAGGATCCATACACAGTGAAATCATCCATAAACACCTCTATATAATTTTCAAGGAAATATGAAAAGATACTAAGCATACATCGTTGGAAGGTACCAGGGGCATTGCATAGGCCAAAAGGCATTCTCCTATAGGCAAAAGTGCCAAAGGGGCAGGTGAATGTGGTTTTCTCCCGATCCTCGGAAGCAATATGGATCCGAAAATAACCGGAGAAACCATCCGAAAGCAGTAATGAGATTTACCCGCCGGATGCTCAAGCATCTCGGTCAATGAAAGGCAGTGGAAAATGATCCTTCCGTGTTGCTCGATTGAGCCTTCGGTAGTCGATACGGACCCTCCAACTGTTTTGTATTCGGTGGGAATGAGCTCACCCTCTCATTCTTCACAACGAGTGAGGCTCGTCTTCTTGGGGACCACCCGGATCGGACTCACCCACCGACTATCTCGATATAGGGTAGATGATCCCAGCTGAAGAAGCTTGGTCACATCCTTCTTCTCAACATCCAAAATCACGGGGTTGAGTCATCTCGTGGCTGTCTCACTGGTTTGGCTCCATCCTCCAATAATATCCTATGCATGCATGTGGATGGGCCGATACCAGGAATGTCCGCCGTGGTCCAGCTCGATGGCTTTCTTATGCCTTTTTAGAACATGCAACAGTTTCTCCTCTTGAACAACATCAAGGGAGGTGGAAATGATCACTGGAAACTTCTCATCATCCTCCAAATAAGCGTACTTGAGGTTTTCTCGGTAAAGTCTTTAGTTCCAGAGTGGGTGCTTGGTCGAACGAAGGAACCGGAGAGGGAAGAAGAATGGGTTCCACGACCTGTACCTCAACTCCGCAAGTCGATTCATGTATACTTCCCGTAACATGGTTAGTGCATTCTGACTCTAAAGAACTCATATCCATAGGAGGTACAACACCCAAAACATCAGACATATGATCAGATTTAAATTCAGAATATAACTCAGGATTAGAATGAAGGTCAATGTCAATATCAAAATCAGATTCGGATTCGGTGCATGCAAAAGAAGTATACAGATCAGAAAGAAAACAATGTTTCCTAGCATGTAAGGAATGAAAATTAGAAACATACTCATCAATAACATCATCAATGATCTCAACACGAAAAATGGAATGGCACTCAGATGGATGTTTCATGGCATTTAGAATATTGAAATGGACAATAATATCACCAAATTCCATGGACAATGTACCATCATACACATCAATCTTGGTTCGGGCTATTTTCAAAAATGGTCTGCCTAAAATGATTGGGACAGATCCATGGGAGAATCCCTCCTCCAAATCAAGCACATAGAAATCAGCAGGAAAAATGAGTTCACCAACCCGAACTAAGACATCCTCAATGAAACCTGTAGGGTGGGCTACACTCCTATTTGCCAGTTGCATCACCACACCCGTAGGTTGCAGAGGTCCAAGAGATAAAGAATTAAAAATGGACAAAGGCATAACATTAATTGAAGCACCCAAATCAAGCATGGCATTCTCAAATTTATTATCGCCAATAATACAAGGTATGCAGAATGTACTTGGGTCCTTACATTTCTCAGGAATGTAAGGAACAAATTTACCTATCAAAGCAGACACATTTCTGCCCATGTTGATTGTCCCACTGCCCTTCATCTTCCTCTTGTGGGTGCACAACTCCTTTAAGAATTTAGCATATTTGGGAATTTGCTTGATGGCATCAAGTAGAGGTATGTTCAGCTCAACTTTCCTGAAGGTCTCCAGAATCTCTTTATCGACCTCTTCCATCTTTTTGCTTGGAATTGCTTTGGGAGGGAATGGAAGAGGGATAGGAGGCTGTTGCAGGTCAGAACTGGGGCTGGAAGAAGGTCCATCTATATGTAATTTTTGGCTACCAACTGGTTGCTCAAGTGCAGGAACTGAGGCAGGTACATATGAGGGTGGAGGTACTGCAGTGGTTATGTCAATCTTTTTTCCTGACCTCAATGTGATGGCACTCACATTCTTAGGATTAACCATAGTCTGTGCAGGGAGCTTGTCTCAATTGTGATTTTGCAATTGATTCACAGCAATAGCTAGTTGACCAATCTGATTGGTTAAACTCTGAATGGAGGCATCATTTTTCTGTTGGTACTGTATGTTCATCTCAGCCATTTGTTTGACCAATTCCTCTAATGAAGGTGAAGAAGGTTGAGGAGCTGGTGCTTCATTTTTCTACCTCTGATATTGTTGTTGCATTGGTGGAGGCATATAAGGTATGCTTGGACCAGCAGAATTCTGAAATGGTGGTGGTGGTGTCGCCGCCGTTCGTTCCGACGTCTAGGGACATCTCGAACGTTTATGCGAGCGGTCGCGAAAAGATGGTTTAGACTCGCGTTTTATTTTTAAATGTGTTCATTGCTTCCGAGGTTCTCAACAACTGAACTATCCTCTAATAAAAGCAAGGTTTTCGAAAAGGAGTTCTTATGGAGTCGCCACCAATGTTTTGACCATAAACATTGGAAAAGGATAAAAAGGCGTTGATTTTAATAAAAACCAAACTTGGCCATTATAACCAGAGTTAGGTAAGGAAGTTAGTTACGTGTGGGGAAGGCGTTAGCACCCCACAACGCCCCTTTCAGGTTCCCTATGACGGATTAATTCATTGAGCAAAGATTACAAGAAATTACGCTATTACCCTATTTTATTGCATAATATTGAAAAAAATGACTATCTACATGACTTTATTTCATATTGCATACATAAAGCAATAAATAAAGCAATTAAAGAGAAGAGAAGTGAAAAGAACCTCCGTAGCAAACTTTGTATTACAAATCTTTAACTGTGAGGATGCGTTTTGGCAATCCCCCGCTCTACAAAGACTCTCCTCCCAAAATACAATATCGACTCGACTAAATTTTAAAGAAGAATCGAATGCTGGAATACAATTCCTTAACCGATTGTTACCTTTTTAAGGCAATCGGAGAGTTCATTCGAAGTAGGGAGAGAAGACAAGTGTCTGGGGTGGCCGGGACGGCCGTCTGGGATTTGGGACGGCCGTCCCAAGCATCAAAATTGGCTGAGACGGCCGTCTAGCATGTGGGACGCCCGTCTGGGCTGGCTGGGACGGCCATCCCGACTTCTGGGACGACCATCTCGACTGTTATGGCCAGATTTTGTGTTCTAGGACTCTCGGGAAGCTTTCCTTTCTTTATTCGAAAGTCGATTGATGTCGATAGACGTCCACCGAGGCTTTATCTTCGAATAGGAAGCCTTCTTAGCCTTTATTGAAAGGCCGGGCAAAATTAGGGGTCTACAGGTGGCAAAGGATTCTGCTGCTGTTGGTGCTGCTGATTGGACCATCTCAGATTTGGGTGATTCCTCCACCCTGGATTGTATCTATTGCTTGAGAGGTCAGAATTATGTTGTTGGTTCGGAGCCCTATTATTGAAAATGTTTGCTGCATAAGCTTGTGGAGCTCCATAACCTGTAGACTCATGCAATAATTGGCAACAATCAGTGGGATGCTCAATTGAAGTACAAATGCCACAAACCCTTGCAGGTGGTGCAGGTCTCTGATTTGTAGCAAGTTGGGAGACTAGGGTGGTGAGGGCATCAATCTTACTTTCTAGCTTCTTCTCCACTAAATCTGATGAACCCACATCATGTACACCTCTAAGGACTATGGCATCACTCCTCATGTTAAATTGTTGGGAATTGGACGCCACTTTCTCAATTAAACCTCTAGCAGCAGCAGGTGTCATGTCTCCTAAAGCTCCTCCACTAGCTGCATCTATCATACTCCTATCCATTGTGTTCATCCCCTCATAAAAGTACTACAGCAGTAGCTGTTCTGATATTTGGTGGTGAGGGCAACTTGCACAAAGTCTCTTGAACCTCTCCCAATACTCGTGTAAGCTCTCTCCCATCTATTGCCTGATACCTGATATATCCTTCCTGATGGCAGTGGTCCTGGAAGCAGGGAAAAATTTCTCTAGAAAGACTCTCTTCAGATCATCCCAGATCGTTATGGAACCAGGAGCTAAGTAGTACAACCAGTCTTTGGCAAGATCCTCCAAAGAGAAAGGAAAAGCCTTCAGGTATATGTGATCTTCAGGAACATTTTGTGGCTTCATGGTGGAGCAGACTATATGGAACTCCTTGAGATGCTTGTGTGGATCCTCACCTGCACGACCATGAAACTTGGGCAACAAATGGATTAGTCCAGTTTTAAGCACAAATGGTACATCCTCTTCAGGGTATTGGATACATAAATTTGCATAAGTGAAATCAGGTGCAACCATCTCCCTGAGAGTCCTCTCACGAGGTCCAATAGGTTGATCACCCATGTTATTAGTTTGGAAATTATCGAAGAAGGTATATTAGGTGCAGTACTCTCACTATGACTATCTAATGGTTCAGACTCAAGAGATGAATTCCTAGAATGTCTAACTAATCTATGAAAGGTTCTGTCTATCTCGGGATCAAAAGGTTGTAAAAGGTTAGGATTGCTCCTAGTCATGTACTATATTCAACAATTCATGTATTTCCCAAGAGTTAAAAAAAAATTCTAAAAAGAAATCAATTATTTACTAGAATGACAACGGTAGACCGTGAATAAGTACACCAGGTAGGTTCCCAAGAAAGAGAGGTGGGTCACTAATGGACACACTTAAGTACCAAGTCTTTCCTAGTCAGAACCCTCCTAGACATACACTCTCACACTACCAAGCTATATGCAGAGTTTCCTATGAGAATGGAAATTATAATTTTTTTTAATAAATCTAGAAAAACAAATTAGATATGAAATTGGTTTTTTTTGAATCATTATTTATATATATTTTTTTTTTTAACCCAAAAGAGTTTTAGAACAATAGTGGGCTATCAAGATAGTATTAAGGGAAGTAAGAATGTTAAATTAAATAGAAAATCAAATAAAATATTCAATTAACTGAAAATCAAATAAAATATACAAATAAGTGAAAATCAAATCAAATATTAAAAACTAGCAATCAAATAAAATATTAAAAACTAGCAATCAAATAAAATATTCAAATAACTAAAAATCAAATAAAATATTCAAATAACTGAAAATCAAATAAAATATTTAAATAACTAAAAATCAAATAAAATATTTAAATAACTAAAAATCAAATAAAATATTAAATAACTGAAAATGAAATAAAATATTTAAATAAAATAAAATAAAAACAAAAAAACGAAAACAGAAACAAAAAATAAAAATTGAAAACCTAGACAAAAATCTTGGTCCCTGGTAGCGGCGCCAAATTTGATCGATGTCGTACTCGGTCAAATAATTAAAACAGATAAATGTAGTACTAGGAAGCTTTTCTAGGTCGTTTCCCAAAGACCACAAATTTCTATCAAAGCTTATCAATTTTTAAATTTAGAACAGTAAAAAAAAAAGGAAGTTTTTCAAAATTAAAATATTAGATGAAACAGAACAAAAATAGATTATAGAAATACGGATTAAAAACAGATTAAAATGCAATTGATTTCCTGATTCTAATGCAGTGTCACTTATCCTAGATTATGAAATTAACCAACTAAGCGAAGATAAATCTCAAATTATATTCTAATTCAAAATTAATCAACTAAGCGAAGAATAATCTCAAATTAGCTTTAACCCTTGTTCCAATTCGAAATTAACCAACTAAGCGAAGATTAATCCCAAATTTTCCTTAACCCTTATTCCAACATGAAATTAACCAACTAAGCGAAGATTAACCCCAAATTATCCTTATACAATTAAGCATTGCATACATCACATAATCTCATCTCTAACACAGAATTAAGCAAACTGTGATATTAGTTTCGGTTTATTAAGCATAAACAGATTACAATTTAACACTGAGATTAGAAGATGAAGAGTTAAGAGAACAAACAAAATGAAATTGAAGAACAAAACCTCAAAGATCTACTTGCATTCTTCTCAGAAAATCAATACAAAGATTTAGCTATCCATGGAAAGTTGAAAACGCAATAGAAGAAACATAATTAAAATCGAAAAGAGAATTTAAAAATAATGACAGAAGAGTAAACAAACTTGAATATAAATTGCAGATGATGAAAGGCGGTTGTGTGGTGGCTGCGCAGTCCTTGTGTCTTCTTTTTCGTGTGATGTGCCTCTCTTATATAAATAACCCTAACCCTAATCTTAATCGAGGTTTAGGCTCAACTAGTCCATGAAACACATCATAAGTTGGCTTCAGTGCAGGTCCATGAACTTCAAACGCGTGCAGTATTTTCAATACTTATCCAAATTAAGTGATTTTGGTCTCCTTTGAAACCATTTTGAGCTAGCTTTAAAATGCCACTGTTTCTACTATTTTCGGAGGTCTAATGAATTAAGGAAACTTAAATTACCGAAACATGTCTATTGGGACGGCCTGGTGCGCTTGACCCGTTTTGAATAATTTATGTAAAATCCAATTTAGCTCTGAATTGAATGGTTTTGGATCCTGTGGAAAGTTCAATGTGTCTAGTTTATAATTATTTTAGAATCATGTTATTTGGAGATCTGTATAAAAAATGATAAATAAAACAGTAAACTAATGTTAGTACCTGTATGAAATAAAATATGACATTTGGCCCAATTTTTCAAGCCAAAAATTGCTTTAAACTGTCCTAAAATTAATAATGAGTAAAAATTTGATCAAATAGATTCAAATTAATTAAAATCTAAATTATTGGCCCAATGAAGCCCAATCAATGAAAATGCACTAATAATAGACAATTAAACACAATGCACCAATTAAGATAAGTACATAAAGATAACAAAATGCGGGAAAGTAGCTATGAGACAACTCATGAGGACTTAAACCGCGCCGTCACGGGAAGAGCTCGGAGGACTGTGTTTCTTCGGAGACCCATAAAATGTTGCAAACTCACTTGCCATCTAGAGAGCATGGGAGAGACCAATCTACATGGGAGATAGAGAGTTAGGCAAAGCTCGAGTGGTTGTCTCTAGTGACTACGAGAAATGGAGAAGAAGCAGAGGGATGTCACAACCATCCGCTCCACCCATTAAGCCATCAGCAAATGAAGAGCTCCAAACTCAAGTCGATGCCTTGACCCAAAGGATAGAAATCATGGGAGCCCAGATGAGGGACCTTGAGGAGAAAGAACAAGAATTTATCCTTACCATTGACGGTCTTGAAAGGCAATGCAAGAAGAAGGACTAAGAGATAGAGCGCCTCAAGGACAAATGTGTTGATTTCAACGAGGAGGTTATCCGAGCATCCAAAGCTCTAAGAGTCAACTCGGATAATCAACTCGGTTATCGGACTACCAAATTAGTACACCTTGAGGATGAATATGCAAAGCAGGCGCAGACGATCAAGGGGATGCTACAAGATCTCGC